TTTTTTTTTTTTTTTTTTTTTTAAAGCATTCTCTTGTAAATGTAATTTTATTTTCAGGCAGCTCAATCAACTGACAAATTACAACTAGTTTTTTTTTTTTTTCAAAAGAACATTAAAAAATTGATTAAGCAAATGATCACTAAATCAAATCTATTGATCATTCAGATGAAAATACAAACAACAATACTCTCAGTAATCACTGACATACCATCTCAACAGTAATCGAAGACAATATTGTCAATGATGTCATAAGCAATTGTCGACAAGAGTTTCAGTCATCGAACATCGACAAGTATCCGTCAATATCATCTTCTAAGTTTAATTCTTTTCATTTTTTATAAGTTGCCAATGGTTAAGAATAACTATTTTTAGTTTTAAATGATATTTTTTCCTCTATCCTTCATTCCAACCATCCTCTCCCCGCTAGGTCAGGCTATTTAGTATTTAACCCTTTCCCTTCGGTCGAGCTTCATTAAATTCAACCTGCCTACAAAGAAATTCAAAGAAAGCACTAACAACAAGATGGAGAAGATTTCGGAATGGAAATATCTATCCAACACACTTCTATCCAGAACCTCCCAATGAACGAATTAATTGACTATATAGTCCCCCATTTGTTTATTATTTTTCATCCATAAAAATAAAAAATATGACCGTTATCCATCACATCAAGCCATTAATTTTGAATTTCTATATCTTGTGTGGGGCCCAATAACGACTATATTTTTCATTCTTATTTTACAATAATGCATATCAAACAGGGTCTTAGTACAATCACGTAAGTAAATGACCTCTTTGATGGGGGTGTTACCAGCGTTTTACCTAACAAAAGGCCCTTAATCTTATACTCAATAGTTTATAAATGTGCCTTGCACATTATATTTTACGATAAGAATATTTGAAAATTTACGAGTAATCTCAAGAAGATTTTCCTACGATAAGGATGCTACCTGCCCACTATGAAGGAAGATGCTAAAGAATTTGTGAGAAAATGTGTTGCACGCTAGCGCCA